TTCCTTCCTTCCTTCCTTCCTTCCTTCTTTCCTTCCTTCCTTTCTTTCTTCATGATATATGCTTGGGGAAAAGATTTATTGGCATAGAGCATCGTGCCCTCATTGACCATTCATCTGTTCTGAGATTTCATGTAAATTGCCCTCTCTTTATTCCTTACCCTCTACCCCTTTATAGAATTGTCACTAGATTTATTCTTAATGCGTACATTTTAAAAGCATGCTGCAAAGCATCTCCACTGTATTTCCATTCCTGCAGTGGTGGGTTCAACTCTCCCCTCCCTTTAGCTTCTAGTGAAGTTACATGATGTGTGACAAAGGATTGTGTGGGGAAGTCATGATTCAGACTGCCGCCAATTCTGCGGTGACACACAGGTGGCTCAAGAGGGCGGATACCTAAAAGGGGGTCCTATTCCTCCCCAGGCCGGGAAGGGTGTGGGGGGGGGCAGGGAAGGGGACTGCTGTGACAGCATCTCTGGACTCCTGAGGTCACCGCCCTGCGCCGGTGGCTTGCTGCGAAAGGACTGGTGAAACTGGACACTCCTCCAGCTACCAGACCTTCCTAAAGGGGAGTAGGAAGCCCGGCCAGCACCTGGGGCGACTACGCCTCCCAGCGAGAGCACTCGAGTGGGTGAGGCTTGTAAAAGCCAGTCCCTCGCAGGTTGATCCAGCCCCTCCACCTCGCACCCCTGTCCGGCAGGCGCCCGGGCGCGGTGCACTCACCCCCGGAGGGCAGGCCGGCGCAGCTGCCCCCGTGCTGACACGGGCTGCGCTCGCAGGCGTCGGGGTAGAGCACGCAGCCCAGCTTCAGCTCGGTCAGGCCCACCACCTCGGCGAAGCTGCTACGCTTGTTCTGCAGCGGGAGCTCGTTGTTGTTCAGCACCACCGAGTCCAGGCAGCCCTGGAAGCCGCTCAGCACCTGCGTGACCCGCGTGTCCGTTAGGCTGCGGATGTTATCCACCTGCACCAGCGCCCCGAAGTAGATGGTGCTCTCCGTGCTTAGCGTCTGGAAGTAGAGGGGTGCCCGGCGCCGCTCCACGTAGCTGTCGTCCAGGGACAGGCTCGTGAAATTGCGGTTGAGCTCCAGGAAGACCGAGTGCCAGTTCCCATCGTTGACGGCGCGGCCGGAAATGCCCAAGATCCCCGGGCCATTGCCACAGTCCAGCTGGAACCACAGCTTGCCGTCCACGATCTGTGTGGGGAACCAGCACCAGAGCGCTTTTCAGTATGCATGTGGCAACATACACCCGGACTCCCTGTTCCCACCCTGTGCATGGGAAGCCTCTAGGATGGAGGTTGCTTTTGAGCCAGTCCTAAGTCTGGGGTGGTTTGATCTCTCCCCATTATGTGCCCTGCAAATGCATGCCTGAAATGTCCCAAATCTTGTAATTAGTAACACCAGCACAGCTGTACAGATCCACAATTATATTTAAGAATGTTCCTATTCTTTGGATCTTCGCCCTTTGAAAGGTCACAGCAATATCTTATTTAGGGGTCTGTTCATTCTCTGCACCCTTCTTCATTATTACTACCACAGGAATGATTTCTGTGAACTCAGTATTTATTTACAAATATTTATTGAACATCTACTATGTGCTAAGCAGTGTTCTAGGTGCTATGGAAACCACTGTGAGCAAAAACTTACTATCTCTGACCTCAGAGGTCTTATGTTTTGGCGGGGGGCAGGGGGTGGAGATGGCCATAAATCAGACAAGCACAGAAATACATATATACCCCACAAGTAAGTCTGTGAGTGTGCTAAAAGGGAGAGAAAGAGGCCAGGTAGAAATAAAAGATCTTTTACTTCCAGCTTCATATATAGGTAAGGTTTTAAAACCCTTCTATATTAAACACTAGCATATTCCTAAAGTGGTTCTTTGGGACGGCTGCTCATCATTTAGGTTACGATCATCCCACAAAGTGCTCAGGGCTTGGCCATTTTCTTAGAATATAGTTATGTATCTTTAATGACATCTGGGATTTTCTGGGTAACTGTTCCCGCCTTGTAGATGCTCCCAGCCCCCCGTCTAGGGTCAGCTACAACAGAGACCTGTCTGCTTTGATTGCACTGAGCAGGGCATCTGAGGGGAGGGCATCCAAGTCCCTTCCGGGAGGCTAATGAACCGCAGGGGGACACTAAACTCAGAAAGTGTGTGCTGTTGGGTGAGTGGCTGGCCAGGATCTGTTGGCCAGGGACTGGTCCTCCACAGAGACCCAGGTTCAACTCTTGCTGAGGAGACAGGCTGGCCTTTGAATCCCCTGGGGTCCACCCTCCTCTGCATTTCTCAGAACGCAAGGTGGCTTGAGGATCCAGGGAATGATGCTGGACCCCGGTCCTGCCAACAAACCAATACTGGGCCATGAAAGGATTGGCAGCCAGAGACTGTGAAACAAAAGGTACTCTGCTGGCCTTTTTGTATGACCCAGCAAAGGGGTCTTGCGGGGGCCGGCATCTGAGTCATGCAAGGGCAGCAGGTCTTCATTTAGAATCTGCTGACATTGGTAGTCCCATACCAGAACCTGGGAAGAGAACACAAGCTTGTGGAGAGAGGGAAGGGGAAGGGAAGGGAAGGCAGACCTTCTAGAACTCTAAGAACGAAGGGGGTATACATGCCAAACGAATTCACAGAAACAGACAGACCCACTCTTTCCAACATGCGTTTGCTTTAGGACAGCCTGATAGGGGTTTTTCACAGTATCACTCATTCTCACGAACGATGTATTTCTCTCCCTATGCTTCAGTATGTTCCACAGACAACTAATTCTTAGGGACTCTTGTTTCTGCCTCTGTGGATTCTCTAGCACCTTCTCTTCCTGCATATAAAGTTATGCCATGGGAGCATGTGTACATAGAAGGCAGGGGGCTGTGTGAACCAGGCAGAGCCCTGGGAACATACGAAAGAGGACTTTAACTCAGGCTTTGTTGTGTCCCACCCAGGCGACCTGGAGAGAACTGGCTGACCTCTCTGGGCTTGGGACCCCTTACATGGCGAGCAGAGATCATTGCTATGGCTCATTTTCCGAGGAGCCTGTGTCCACTGCAGAATGGTTAGCTACCTTGTACGCGGTACATACATACTCCACTCTGAAATGCAAGTGTATACATGTAAAGAGACAGGAGGCAAATATTTATGTTTTTTTCAGAGAGCTTTCTTATATGATCTATGCTACTGCCTTGGTCAGTGTCTTGGTTCCACAAAATGGACTGAATGGATATTATAAATCATACCAGCAGACTTGTTCAGGAACAACTCCTGGGTAATATCCATATTTTTATTTCAGTGTAAGTAATAAAATGATCAAATGTGACTTTGGGGACTTCCTCCAGCACAGTCCATCTGCTGTTATGCTCTGTGGCTACAAAGCGGTGTCCCCAGACTAGCAAGGAAGATCTGGCGGTGAGGGTGTGACTCATCGAAGGTTTTATAAAAGGATGTAGTCAACTAATAGATTCCTCAGTCCATTTCCCTCTCCAAGCCCACTCCCTACCTCTTGGGCTAATAACCAAGTTGCAAATTCATCTGGGAGAACCGATGTAGCTCTAATGTACTCAGGTACATCAAAGTTCCGTAACTAAGGGATATAAAATGATCCCACAGTAACAACGAGTACAGTTCAGTTTGCTTTTCTGTTGAGAAAAGTAAGAGCAGCAACCTGCTGAATGAGTAGGAAGCCCGGTGCCTTTGGAAAACAAAAGTGATTTGTGCCCTCAAAATTCTAGGAGTTTGGAATGATGAGCCTTGTTTAGGTGACACACCAGAGTGCTGCTGTCAGAGGCAACTTTGCAAAAGTTAATCTTTTCCTATGTCACAAGCATATTATGCTGGGGAGAGAAGAGAAGAGTTTCATGCCTAAGTCCGTTTACACTGGAAACTCATGTTCTGATCATATTCAGTTTTTCTCTGTCTCCAGAATAGGGTAGACCCAGTTTGAAAGGATCTCTCTTTTAAGAGGACAATGCTTTCTCAAGTAGGAGGCAAACTATTTTAATAGAAATTCTGCTGTGCATCAAACTGTAAAAAAAAAAAAAAAAGAAAAAGTCTACAGCAATGATCTGAAATTATGTGCTGGGTTGGGGGAGGCAGGAAGGCAATTTGTTCAATGAAATGCATAATTCTGAGAGCAGGGCTCTAACATCACGAGGTATTTAAGTCCTCAGTTTTGTCTTAAATCAGTGATGGGCTTTAACCCGGATCTTGAGTGGCTTGGGGCTTGGAAGACAAGATATCAGAGCTGTAAGAAGTCATCTTGTAGGAAAGTAGGATTTTGAGTGAAAAAGTAGAAATGATGGCACAAAGTCTTACTGCTTCAGATCCTTGGTGTGTGGCTCTAGCAAATGCACCAATGCCCCAAAACTTGTAAGAGGGTTATGAACTATTCTGTGTAAAGGAACTTTTGAAAACCTGTTTTCAAGGCTGCCGTCAATGGTTATCTGGCTCAAAAAATATGCCTTAAGGGCGCCCGGCTGGCTCAGTTGGTTAAGGGTCTGCCTTCGGCTCAGGTCACGATCCCAGGGTCCTGGGATCCAGTTCCGTGTCAGGCTCCCTGCTCAGTGGGGAGCCTGCTTCTCCCTCTCCCTCTGCCCCTACCCTCACTCGTGTTCTCTTGCTCTCTAAAATCTTAAAAAAGATACCTTATCATATGGTTTCACTCATATGTGGAACATAAGGAATAGTGCGGAGGACCACAGGGGAAGGGAAGGAAAACTGAATGGGAAGAAATCGGAGAGGGAGACAAACCATGCGAGACTCTGGACCCTGGGAAACAAACTGAGGGTTACAGAAGGGAGGGGGGTGGGGGGATGGGGTAACGGGGTGATGGGTATTAAGGAGGACACGTGGTGATGAGCACTGGGTGTTATATGCAACTAATGAATCGTTGAACACTACATCAAAAACTAATGATGTACTATATGCTGGCTAATTGAACATAAAAAAAAAACAAAAAAACCAAAACACCTTATATAAATAAATAAATAAATGATCATCCCAGCCCTCTAAAACTCTTCTTTTGATAACACCTATAGTACTCCTGACCTGCTTGCCCTGGTCAGAGGGCCAGATCCACTACTGACTAGTTACGTTTGGGCAAACCCACCCATTCTCTCTGAACCTATTTCCTCACAGGCAAAAAAAGATGCACTCCTATCTAGGCACAGGAGAGTATAAAAATACATGCATGTATTTTGTAAAGTACTTTGTAAACTCTTAGGTATCTTATTATTATCATCCTACAATTATTATCGGTTAACTCACTTCTCAGTGGTACTCTTACACAGATCCTTGAAACTCTGGAATCCTGTGGGGGCTTCCTTGTTGCTTTTCTATGTTGGAACGATCCGGCTACTCCAAGTGGGCTGTTTTATAAACCAAATGGGCTTTCCCTGACCATCTTCCTTTTATTCCTGGGGTTTTAAGTTAGCTGTGTCTCAGAATCATCGAAATGAAGCCATGTGTCATCTATAACTTCCCCACAACATGAAATAATGACATTTCTAGATTAACAAGCAAGGACTTCTTGTGCTTTCACCATAAGATTGGACCCGAAAGACGGACAGAGGGAAAAAGTTATAAATCTCTTCTGGTGATCTGACAGGTTTCTTTTACAGGTTTGAGAAGAGCCAGAGAACCTATCCCACCATTTTTATTCTTGTTTTGGCTGCCTGAAAATTCAGAGTCATGGTTTGTGTTCAACTGATACAGCAACCCTTGGTCTAGATTTTTTAATGATGCTCTTCTTCCTATCCCCACTTAATTGGTTGAGTCTTAACCTTCTATTTTCATCTTACTGGTATTCTGATCTTACTGCATTTTGGTGTTTATGGTAAGCCTGGAATCTCTTCTGGAAGAAGACAGGGTGTCAGTGGTCAACAGAAGAATGAGCACCTTCACTGCTGCTAAGAAACAGTGGTGCTCCTTGTCCCTGAGCATTTGCAATCCTTGAGGTCCCAAGCAATTCTTCAACTGTCTTCAAGGGGTGCCCTTCACCCCTATTGATTTTCTCAATACTTTTTAGAGAACGTGCTCTAACTGGGAAAATCTAAACAACCAGGAGGTGCAACTTAAACAAAGCATTTCAGTCTAGTCGTTGAACCTGAGTACAAGGCACATACTGTACCTAAAGCCAATGAAAAATCTTGCACGAGGCTGGGAATGTTAAGCAAACAGATTCAAATCCCCTAAGTGGATATTCCTGGCGACTGTAGGAGAATATCCGCTATAGTTCCGTACAGCTGTGGCCTGCTTTAGGCAAACTCAACATATGAAAAGCAAACGTACCAAACAGACAGACTGGGGGTGATTATTCACATCACAAAGGGATTAATGGAAGGGTTCCTTCAAATAGGGACCATCCACCGTTTATTAGAATTCCATTTACAGAGATTCAATTTACACAACTTTCAGAAACACGCTTGTTTCATGAAATACAATATACCTTAGGAGCCAGAGCCGCCTAAAAGGTTTAATTATTCTTCCTTCCCATCCCCAGGGACCTGCGCGTTTTAGACCTTTGCCAGGAAAGTGTCAAATGACAAGCTCCGGTTTTAGGATCTGGCCATTCAGGCCCAGTAGTTTTGTTCTCTCTCAGATTTAATGCTAAAGAAGAGATTTGCTAGTAGAAAGTGTTTGCCTCATAAGGAAGGTCTGCAAACCAGCAGTCCTGTTAGAGCTTGAAGGAGGAGAGGGAGGTCGGTGACATTTCAGCTGAGCCCCGGGAGCTGGCAGCTCGGAAGGGCCAGAGCCCTTCCCCAGCGAGTATACAAAACCCCACCTCTCAGGGCTATTTAGAAAGAAGCCACCCAAGGCAGGTGGCTTGAGGGGCCAGGAGGTTAGAAAGACAGGACTTAGGTCTTTGCCTGTGTCTTCTTCTACCACGAATATCTAATTTGAATTCGCTGTTTGCTAAAACTGGCTCCAGAGCTTCTCCTGTTTTCTTTCCCAGAGCTGAAATGATTCTCTGAGTTGAATGAGCGGAGGTAGCAGGCGAGTCCCCACGAAAGTTTTAAACCCCAACTGCCTGCTCGCTCCCTCTGGCCACCATGTGGTGCCTGGCAATTCCAGAAGCAGGTGAGTAAAAGTCTGTGTGATAGAAGCCACGGGCATTTAATGTCCTACATCCTTTTCTCCCTCCGGGATGAAAGCCTGGGGCACCTCATCAACTTGGATGTGACCTATCAAACAATCAAAGGACAGAAGCTCTAAAGGCCCACCATGATCCCCATTAAGCCCAGTGATGGAACCCTAGGAAGGAAAAAATTGCCAGTCATTTCCACTTGTATGGGGACTTCCTACGGGTCAGACTGCGTCTGCCTCTGAACGCACTTACAACGGGCTGGTACAGGAACCTTGCGGGAATGGGAGAACAGAATCACATTAAACATCTTCCTCTTTGTCCTCCTGTGCTGGAAGGCTTCCTTGGGTCGACAGATGCCCAGAATGTGACTTTTGATGAAATGATGGTAGCAGCAAGACTGAGAGCCAGGGGAGAGCGTGAAGAACAGCAGAATGCAGCCAGAGAGACTGGAATGCAGGTCCAGGCCTGGGTGCTTGTGAGCTGGCCCACCCCGGGTAAGGAACTTGACCTTTCTGAATCTCTGTTCTCTCCGTGATCAGATGGTGCTGATCATATATAATAAATGTATCATATTAACTTTATAAGAAAAAACAAATGAGGTGCATAAAGCCGTTAGTATTCGTGTTGTCGTTGGTTTCACGAAGGCGCCAGGAGCTCTGAGCCGCATACAAATGCTAGACTTGCTCTCCAGGAGATCCGGCTGCTTCGGAGCCTTTCTGAGGCTGGCAGTGATTGCACAAGTGGGCGACTAGGGGCCACGACAGGACATATGGAGTCTTCTCTACCCTAGATCTCCAACTTCCTCCCCGAGTAAGAACAGAAGTCACCTTCAGGGGTCAGTGGGGCTAGGCCCGTGTGGGAGAAGAGAACACAGCCAATCTTTTTAAAGGACCACCCCTGCCGTGGAATTCATTAGGAAGTGCATTCTAATGAACTGTTGCATGATTACAGCTCCAAGGAGGGCAGCCCTTGAACCCACTCTAGAGAGAGATGTCCCAGTATCCGAAGAACCCATTCTGAAGCGGAACGTATAAAAGGAAATGTGGCCACTCATCTTTGCCCTCAAGCCAGTTTCCGGTCTTCTGAACTTAAAAGACAAAAAAGGCTTCAGGCCCCAGTCTGAGAGCCAAAATATTAACATGAGAACTGACTGCAGGAAAAGATAACCCATTTTAATTACCTTCAGAATTATGCAGGGATTTGCTCTGGTGTACATTATAATCCCGTTGCTTTGCAGGGTTCGTAGACGCAGAGCTAGCCGGAAGTCCTCTTCTTTGCTATTTTCAGATAGGCGGTATTTGATGTAACTGTTTCCAGCAAAGCTGAGAGAAGTGTGCCCTGAAAAGACCATTAGGAGAAGACAGATATACTGGGAACATCCAGAAATGGTCAGGGACACATGACATCACCCAGCAACCCACCAAGCCAGTTGATAAAAGACTGTGGGAAGTTAATGAAGGCATTGAGGAGAAGCCGCTTTTGATTAAAAATGGGTTCTCTCCACTTCAGGCCACACTCTAATTCTGAAGTGAAAGAAATATTAATTCATCAGATACCAAAAAATCTCAGTGGTCTCATGCCAAGGGAAACTTGGTGAATTTTCTTAGAGTCTCAATGCCCACTTTCTAAAATGAGCACTGTTAACGGATACGCCCTTCCTGCCCACCACCAGTCACTTAGACACTCAAACACTTGCCACTCCATGAAACAAAGGAGAAAGCCATTTGCAAAGAGTAGCCATCTTCCCCGAGTCTCTTAACGCCAAATAGCCAACTGATGTCATTTGCACTAATGTTGAAAGAAGTAAGTTCATGTCTTGCTCATGTGTTGTCGCAATTCTACTTTTTGACCATGAATTTCAAGGCTTGCCTTTCCAGCATCCACAGTCCTACCCACATCACCCCATTTTGAGTTCACTGTCTTTTGTACTGACTCCAACTTTATGTTCTAACGAGCAAAATGATGCTGAAAAGCTGTCTTGCTGGGGCAACAGGTGGCTAGTGTGAAAATACATCCAGTGGATGAAACTCATGGACAATCACAAGTTTTCTACATAGAAAAGAGAAGGGACATGGGCAGAAAGTGACATCTGAAGTCAGGAGACTTGTTGGCTTTGTTGTCACCCCTATAGACCCAGCTGCTGTGTGCACAGGGTGTGTGTAGAGGGGTAGGACCAGCCTAAGTATCTTTCAACTCTAAGCCCTAGATGACTGCAAAGGCAAGTATGCCAGGGATCTCTTCACTTCACGGGCAGCTGTTCTTAAAATCACCTATGAAAGAGCTTTGGCTTCCATGTTTGAGAACAGTGCTTCTCTTCAGAGAGGCTGAATTTCTAGAACCCAATGCTTAGCAAAGTGCCTTGCATATAGCAGACCTCATTGTTTTGTGTTCTCCTCCTCATAAATTGCGGTTATAATCACCACTTCATAAATATTTCTTGGATTCCAAGAAGGGTATCAGTGTACCTGTATTTTAAATACAACCTTTACCAAAAAGAGAGGTCTATTGGTACCAAAAATGAATACTCCTTCTAGAGTTTAGATGTGATAGGGAATATGTGAATCATATTCTGCAACTGAGGGAGATCAGAAACAGGATCATTTGGATTGAAATAACATAAGTGGGTTTCTTTCTCTTTCTTTTCCCTTTAGGACACGGAGGTGAGACATGCAGCGCGTATCCATCTCCAGCGGAGAGTCTGCTCGCTTGGTGCCCTAGGCTTGGGTTTACCCTATGGAAGGTCAACTGGACTGGCTCAGCTGTACCTTCTGGTGAGCTCTGTTTTGTGGCTCCAGGTTGTGCCGCCCCCTGACCATCAAAGGCCATGCCACGGATACTCTTGACTCCTCTGCCTAACCAATGGCCTTCTATTTTCCATTTTACACTCTTAACATCCATGCGACACCACTGAAAACACATGTTGTGGTCTTCCTGTTATATAAGGAGTCCACGGTCATTATGGGTTTCCTGAGCACAGGCTGAAGCTGTAATGAATCCCAAGTACCTGTGAGGGCAGATGTTAGCTGTGGTCCATCCTGAAGGTAAATGTGGCATGCAGACAGAAATGCCTTTCGGAAGAGCTAGGGCACAGTCATTTACCCAAGGGCAAGTGCTTCAGGAATATGAATTTAGACCCGCATAATTCCACCCCCCTCTGCACCTGAGCACTCTCCGAGCTTCCCTGGTGGACACTGGCAGAGGTAGGGTCTCCTGCTGGCTTCATAACCGACACACTGCATGTCCCCTGGACATGGCTTCTCCATGCAAGGATCGCTGGACCCTGGGCACAGTCCTCCTGCGACAAAAGGGAACACACATGATCAGTATGCAGAGAATCACCTTACATTCTAGGGGACGCTGGAATAGTTCCAGAGCTGGGCTCGACAGGCTCTGGGCTGAGAGACAAAAGGGCCACCCAGAAGCAGGAGCGCCCGAATGGGCTTTACCTGGTGTGAGTGCCCATCAAATGTTCCTGCATCGGCCAAAAGCCACCGGCAGCCTGAAGTAGGTTGGCTTCAAAGAATAAATGGAGCTCTTCCTTTTAGGTTCGGATATGCTAAGGTTGTAACTGGACGAACGTTAGCTGAAAAAAGATCACACTGCGCGGGCTCTGGTCGTATTTACTGGAGTAGGTTCTGCACACGGGTGCCTACGTGAATGTATTGCTGGAGTTTCCATTTGTCTTACACTCTTTTTCTTTCCTGCCCTGAAAAACTTCGGAGGTAGACTTCGGAAGATGTTAGCTGTTGTTTTCAGAGGGGAAAGAAAAAGACGTTTCTAAAGAAAAGTATGACTAATTCTAAGTCGCGCAAGCACAATTCCCATTGTTTCCTAATCCCTTCTGCTACCTGCTCATGTATCGATTAGCTATAAAGCTGTCCTACCGCCTATCAAAAACAGTTGAACTATCACTGGCAAAGGCAGGTTTTCTTGCTACCTGTTAGATGCTCACAGCATAGTGAGATGAAAGGTTAATGCCTCGGGAAGAAAAATCCTGGAAAGCAGATTAACTGATTAAGGCAAAATTCAGGACCCAAGTGAGTCATTTCTGAACCGTGCTGAGGGCAAATAGGGGTCCACCCAAGGAAGTGCACGTTTCAGAAGTCCTGGATATTTCAAATGTGAGTAGGCCACTTTCCACATAGTGAGAGTTTAAGCGGTAAGGATGATAGGAAAGGAGACACAAATGAAAAATTGCCCACAAATGGGTTAGCGGTGGCCTAAAGGAGCACCTCCTCTGCGAACCAAGAATGTGCAGACATCAGCAGCTTCCTCCCTCAGGAGGATCTGACCCATTACCAAACTCTCGTCCATCCTAACTCTTTCCTCATCATTAAGCATATTGTCCCATTATACAGTCATCTCTTTGCCCAGGGGAAAGCAGACATTTAATGCTAACTACATGTAAACATTTAAAAACTGTAATCCTTGAGAAGAGCAATCTAAGTGGCCCCAGCACACTCAGAATTCATAAATCCTATTTTCCACCAGTTTAGAGCTCAGCCATGAAAGATACTCTTGGCAATGATCCAACTTACAAAGTCTTAGAAGATGAAGGGATTTTCAACTGAAAACTTGGAATGATCTCTACAAATGGTTCTAAAAGACATAAGTTACCCCAAAATACATCTTCCTATTTTCATCCCAAGAAATTTTTACTCCTGCCATGTATTTCTCAATATTTATGCAACTTAAAATAGCTGTTCTACCACCTTATGATCTGCTTCGAAGTGCTTTTGATAACCAGTTTTAAGATAATTTTTGGTGCATTCATTCAGCAAATAATTTTTTTTAGGGCCAAAGAAGTGATAAGCCTGGACATACAAAGATTATTTGTTTATTTATTTGAAAGAAAGTAAAAGAGAGAAAGGGAGAGAGGGAGAAGCAGACTCTTCGCTGAGCAGGGAGCCCGATGCGGGGCTCGATCCCAGGACGCTGGGATCATGACCTGAGCTGAAGGCAGACGCTTAACTGACTGAGCCACCCAGGCGCCCCAAGCCTGGACATACAAAGATGGAAGGAAAAAAGGCCACCTCTTCCTCCCTCCGGGAAACACCAGCAAACACATGAGGACTAGACAATAAGGTAAGCGCCTTGATAGAGGTCCCAGAGAAGGGACAATTGTGTTTCCTGGGAGAATGTCAGAAGTCCTCACCAAAGAAGGGAGCATTTTAAATTCAGTCTTGAAGGATGAGATCCTTTTAGGAACAAGGGGCTGTGTTTCATGGGAATGAGCCAGCCGTAGTGAGTGGCTCGACTGTTGCGTGTGTTAATGTTCATTCATGAAAAGTTCACAACTCTACCAGCTGACTCTTCGCTGTCTCCATGCATGGCTTCGTGTCAGTTTCGGATGGTCTTGCACACTTCCAGGTTGCTCCTAAATGTGGACTCATTAGTATATGCTCAAAGATCCTAACTCAGCCCAACACTAAACTTGGCCACAGGAAGGTGGCCATGTGCATAGATGAATCACAAAATGCATTCTATCCAACAGATGTAGTTCTGAATTACCTGGGCATCACCTTCCAATTAGACACAGAAACAGTAATTTACATAGTTAAGAAATCTATTTCTTCCCATTACACGGACATGACTTTTTCCATGTCCTGCTTTCACCAGCTGAAGGATATCTTTCTCTGCATTTCTATGTTTCTGAGACACAGCGGCACAGACTCCATTTCTGCTATAGTGTAAGGCTCCATTGTTAAGCAAATGTGCATTATTAAAAGTCCAGTTTAAAAGCCACTATTTCAAAGGGGGAAAAGAGGGCTAGATAATTTCAGACTCATGACAGTAAAGCTATTTTCTCCTGGAGGAATTATGGTAAGATTAAAAAAAAACAGCTGTAAGCGTATATAATAAAAACTAAACACAGTATTTCATATTAAAACAGTGTTTGACTTCCTGCTATCTTCTTCTTTTTTTTTTTTTTAACATATAATGTATCATTTGTTTCAGAGGTACAGATCTGTGATTCAAAGGCGGGGAAATCGGAGGGGGAGACGAACCATGAGAGACGATGGACTCTGAAAAACAAACTGAGGGTTCTAGAGGGGCGGGGTGTGGGAGGA